CTTAACCTACGAGGTCATGTTTTTCCACAGCTTTGCAAGGAAGGACATGGAGCTTCAGTATTAAGAGTAACTGAAACCCTGCTGAAGGTTAATTACTGACTAATTCCCGGCCACTTAGGCACGTCTCTCTCCTCGACGGCTGGCTAATCCTTGTACTTCAAATATCTCACCTTGAATTTCCAAGTTCGATTTTCACTGATTTTCATTGTGTGTGTCTGTGTTTACCTTAAATTTTACAGATAACATAAAATTTACCATCCTGACCATTTTCAAATGGACAGCACAGTAGTGTTAATTACATGCACCTTGCTCTGCAGCAAATTCTCTAGAACTTTTTCATCTTATGAAACTGAAACTCTATATCCATTGAGCAGCTCTTCCTGTCCCTCCCCCACCCCCCACTCCCTGGCAACTTCTATTCTATTATCTGTTTCTAAGAGTTTGGCCACTTTCGATGCCTCAAATAAACGGAATCTTACAGTGTTTATCTTCTTTGTGACTGGCTTATTTCCCTTAGCATTACGTCCTCATGGTCCATCCATGTTGAAGCATGTGTCAGCAGTTCCTTCTTCTTCTTCTTTTTTTTTTTTTTTTAATAAAAAGAACTTTAGGTCACTTTTTTTTTTTTTAAGATTTTATTTGTTTATTTGTCAGAGAGAGAGAAAGAGAGCACATGCACAAGCAGGGGTATCGACAGGCAGAGGGAGAAGCAGTCTCTTTGCTGAACAAGAAGCTGGATGTGAGACTCAATACCAGGACCCTGGGATCATGATATGAGCCAAAGGTAGATGCTTAACCGACTGAGCCAGGTGTCCCAGAAGTTCTTTCTTTTTAAAGGCTAGATAATATTCCACTGTATGTACACACCATTTTCATTACAACTTTATTGCTCTGTGATTTTATTTTGATTTTCCTAGGATAAAATACAAAGGTTGTCTTAATGGGTATATTGAATTTACCTTTCTAACTTTCTAATTTACCTTTCTCAGAACCTTTCTAACTGACGAACCAGAGGATTAGTAGACATGAAAATTTAATAGATATTTTCCCCAGGTTTCTAAATGAGCCATTAGAAATAGAGCAAGTTTATAAAGTAATTGACAATCTTTCATAATGCAAGCTATTTTATAAGACATTTAAAACTGTCTATCCTTCAAGCAATATGACAGGAACAAAAATGAAAGCAAACCTTTTGAACTTTTGAATTGACAGCTACCAAGCTTTTCTAAGGAAACAAGGTTTTCAAGTGATTGTGATGTTGAACCACTTGATGTTCTTAATGGCTTTTTATATGTCTCCTTAGATCATATGTGCATTTCAGAGGGGAATTATTCCCCTTGAAATCCCAAAACAGAATATCAACAGAAATATTCCTAAACAGAAATAAAGTGGTAAGTGTTATGAAAGGGATGCCTGGATGGCTCAGTTGGTTAAGCTATCTGTCATCAGCTCAGGTCATGATCCAAGGTCCTGGGATGGAGTCCAGCATTGGGCTCCCTGCTTGGTGGGGAACCTGTTTCTCCCACTGCCTGCCTCTCCCCCTGCTTGTGCTCTCTCTCTCTAACAAATAAATAAATAAAATCTTAAAAAAAAAAAAAAGAAAGGATTATCAAACATTCATTCACCAAGAGGATAACCCCTTCCCCTAATTGAACCAAGGAAGAAACAAAAAATAAGCGTGGATCCTTTTGTGGCCAGAGCATGACTTGGGGGGAAAAAGCTGATCTGCTCTTCCAGAGGGCACTAGTGATCTATTGCTATCAATGTGAAATTCAACTCCATTCTCAAAGCTGATTAACTTTCAAAAGATGGCACTCTGAAATGATTATCAGCCATAAACATAGCCTCAGTGTAGGGGCCAAGGGCAGGCCACCCCAAGATGGGCCACTTGATAGCAACATAAAGATTATTTTGAGTTAAAAAGCAATCAAAACCCAGCAGATTCAGGAAAGGTTCTTTACCTTCGCCCTCAACTGCCTAAAAAGAATTCAGATAGAGGATCTGTTCCAGGAAGAGAGCTATCACCACAGATATCTACATTACACTATGAACTAGCTATGGTAGACAGAGGAATCTGGCAAGGCCTGTTTGATCAAAGTCCTCTATGTCTCATTGTTTCTGAGTGACCTAGCAAACATTTGTTTACCAAACATTTACTCTTTTTCATCTTCCTGTGAATTGCAATCCTTCCCTTTGAAGTCCAAGACCCCTACCCCTGTCTTCTTAGTCCAAAATGACAGGTATACCTCATTTTGCCAGACTGTCTTTGGAATTTCCATGTCTGCGTGGATTCCCCACACATATAAAATTAAATTGGATTTTCTCTTGTTCATCTGTCTCATGTCAATTTGATTTTCTTAGTCCAGCTAGAAGGACCCAGAAGGGAACAGGAAATTCTTGCTTCCCAACATCAGCTTGTGGAAGAAAATACCCCTCCCCCACCTCTTACCTACTTTTACTTTTCCATCCTCAAGTCTCAAGTAGTCTAAACATTCATTGGTTCCAGGACAGTTTATATTTCCAAAAGCCCCCACTGGCTGCTTTTAGAGAATAGCCATAGATCCCGATCTCCATCAGAAATTGTTGACCCAAATGTATGGATGGGGTCTGGGAGGGTGGAGGAAGTAAGGGGAGAGGAGGAGAAGCACAATCACTCTGGAAGGAGCCCGGGGAAGGGGAGAGAGGCGCGTGAATGGAGAGCTAAGTCAAGAGGTTCAGGGAGACACAGAAAGGTAAGGAATGGGACCACAGAAGGATAGATGAGGAGACAGTGAGCACCACACTGAGGGCAAGAGAAAAGCTGGGAAATGGAGAAATAGGTAAGGTGGAAAGATAGAGAAACTAGAAATTATAAAAACTTTGAATAAGAGAAACTAGAAATTTCAAAAACTTTGAATAAAACCTGATTCATTCCAAAGCATTCTGCAGTGTTTTTGTGAGACAGTGAAACCGAAATAGGAAGAGGCCCTTTATTTTCTTAGGAAAAGAACGCAGACTGGAGGTGGGAGAGGAACGGTGGAGAATTTTCCAAACACAGAGAGAGCCTGTGGCCTCCCAAACTGCCCCCACCCCTCTGGATGAACGGTTCACACCACAGTCCCTGACTTTCTCTTGAGACACAGGGGATCCGGGACAGAAGACTGGGCGCTCTGTGGGCTGAGGGCTGGACAGTGGGACTGCAGAGCTTGACTGTAGGCTCAGTAGGAGGCAGACAGGAATTACAGAACAGTGGTCTGCCTGGGGTAGGGCCCAGGCCTGGTTGGGGAGTGGCTGGGCTCCAGAGCGAGCAATTGAAAGGCCTTGTTGAGGGAACCTGCCTCCCTAAATCCCAGAGACACCAAATCAGGAAACATGGGACTTCCTGCCCTGCCTCCTGGAGACACACACATGGTGCCATAAAGGAGGGATAGAAACATCCGCTAAATCAGATCAACCCTTCACACCTGTTTCCCTAGACCTTCTGCTCCTGCCCAAATTGGACACGTCACAGATACCCCCCCCCCCCCCCGCCCCGCCAAGAAAAAACGTCCTCTCAACACCTGAACAAAGTCCCTCACCTTCCCCATGGGGGAAAAATGGCCTTGGCTAAAGGCAGTGCACCAATTTGGCTCACTGCCACACTTGCCCCCAAAGAGGCCACCAGAGGGTCAAGGCCAGCCTCTTGGTACCAAGTACTGGAATGTGCCATCCCAATTTCTGGCTGTTGTTGGTTGGAAATTTTTAATATACTAACCCAACACGACTTCAGTTTCCTCACTGCAAGGTTGGTATAATTAGAGGGCCGGATGGTGATGCATGGAAAGGATGTGGTACTCCCTGGGGTTTTTAGCCCCTAGATGAGTGAGAGATGTCCTCAGCGTCTGTTCTTGACAAATTCATTCACTCCTTCATTGCACAAATGCTTATTGAGTGTCTCCTACATAACAGTCTGGGGACATGTCCTTGAACAATCCAGATTCCCTCCCCCAGCAGTCACTTTACCGTTATAGGGTGCATTAGAGTTATATCGTCTCTCAGAAGGAATTAGGAAGAAAATATCTCCGAACAGTGGGGATGAGTGCGCATGTGTGGGTGTCGATGAGGGTTGCAGAATACGCACCTACAACAGTGAAGCCTCAACAGCGCCTTCTCAATGTGGGGGGGGGGGTCTCCAAGGCAGGTGAGAATGGGCCAGGAGGGGGGAGTCTCGCCTTTGTGGCTGGATTAGCTCCTGCTATCCTGATTCTCTACATCCTCTCCAGTCCCTTTCTAGTCTTACCCGCCAACCCGGCTTACAGGGGGGTGTAAGAGAAAGAGACGGAGAGAATCAAACTTCCTTGGCAGAAACGTCAGAGGATGGAAATTGAATTACAATGAAAATAAGAATAGTACTAACTTCCTGACCCTAGTCATTAGGTACACACTCCTCTTAGTTAATACCAGCAGCACAAAAAACCAACGCGAGTCCCGGAGACCCCAACCCCTGTGGCACCGCGGGGCGCGCGGCTTCCCCTGGCGGCCGCAACCGGAGCGCACGAAGCACCGAATTGCGCAGCCAGCACCTCGTTGGGGGCCTACGCAGGGCGGGGCCTGCGCGGGGGGGGGGCGGTGCAGGCGAAGAGGCGGGGCCTGCGCGGGCCCCTCCCCCACGAGAATCGGGCGCGGTGCGCTGGTTAAAGAGGCGCGCGGAGGCGGGCGCGGCGCACACTGCTGTGGCTCGCGGAGGACGGCCCACGTGTCTCCCCAGAGTCTGGCCTTAATTCCACCCCCTCCCAGCTCCTTTTAGCCCAGCGAGGCAGGGCTCCTCCTTGCCCCCACCTTGGTGTCCGCCGGTCTCCCACACCCCCCCGCTACCCCGCCTGCGGGAGGAAAGCTTCGTACAGTTACCCGCGCTCGGTGGGCCAATTTGACGGAGCAACTTTGTCCGGGGAGCGGCGCCGGGGGAGGGTGGAGGAATAGGGCACTGCGCATGCGGAGCTCCAAATTCAAACAGCTGTTTGCAGAGGCTGGAGGGCGCGTGGACCGGGAGCCGCTGGGGCTAGGGGAGGCTTTCTCCAGGAGGCAGCCGCTCAGGAGCCATGGTGGACCGGGGCCCATTGCTCACCTCGGCCATCATCTTCTATCTGGCCATCGGGGCAGCGATCTTCGAGGTGCTCGAGGAGCCGCACTGGAAGGAGGCCAAGAAAAACTACTATACACAGAAACTGCATCTGCTCAAGGAGTTCCCGTGTCTGGGCCAGGAGGGCCTGGATAAGATCTTGCAGGTGAGCCGCCGTCCGTGCCCCTACACACTTGAAGCCGGAGTCAGGAGTGCTGAAGGGCTGCCCTTCACAGCTTTGGATAACCCACAGTCCCCGTGGGTAGTCCTGGGGTGGCAGGAAAGGATGTCTCGCATGGGTCTGGCTGCTGGGATCTGTCGTTTACCGGAAGACGCCGGAGTGACCCATGCGCCGAGATTCTTTGGGAACCCGGTTTGTCCCGAGAGAAGTTGAGGTTCACCTCCTAGTGAACCAGGCTTCGTGGTGGCTCGGTGTGAGTGTGCGGGTACCTCCCTGCTTGGAAGGGGACTGGAGGGCGGATAAAGGCATTTATCTTCACTTGGAGACGCTCCCGGAGTTCGGGAGGCGAGCCGGGTGCCACTCCTTCGCATCTCCACCTCCCAGCTCCAGGCCGGTGCCGCGCCCGCGCGGTTTTTCTTCGCAAATGTGAGCGCCGCGGGGTCGGTGGAGGGTCCGCCCCAGCCCCAGCCTGAGCAAAGCCTACCCCCTCAGGAAGTGGGTAGGGGGCTCTGTCCTGCCGGAGCACCCTGGAAGGGGGTTGGGGGGAGATGGCTGGAATGCTGGAGACGCGCTCACGCTTCCGGCAGGGCTTATCTCTCGGAGACAGTCCCCCTCCTCCCCCTGGGCTTGGAGTTAAAGTTTGTGAAAGTAGCAGGTTGAACAAAGGAACAAAATGCTGGGGATCTTTTTTAGGGGGAAGGAGAGGTTGAGCAGAATGGGAGGTGTTGGGGGGTAGTTTCTCCTCCGTGTTGGGATTGAAAGCCTCTTATCTTCTCCTTGTGTTCTATGGATGGCTTTGACCTCACTGGGATAAACTGGAGCTGACCATGCTGGTTGGGTCCTTGAGTCTGTTTGGGGACCAGAGCCCTTTGCTCCAGTTTCTCAGAGGCCCTTGGCCTCAACCACCCATCCTCTTGGTCTGCATTTATGGCCTCCCACCAGTGGAAGGACCAGAACCTGGATATAAGAGCTGGTGAAGGTTCTAGATTGTGGGGTGGACTAGAGGGAGATTGTCCAAGGTGTTACATTTCTCTTGGGGCGAAAGATGCCAGAAAGAAGGTTTGATGGAATGAACACTTAATCTGTAGCAGGCCCCCAACATTTTATGGTTGTCTAGTTGTCTCTCATTTGACCCGGTCTCAAATCTCCCCATATGTGAAATGAGAACGAACCGGTCTTCATCTGTCTTCCCTGCCCTGGACTGCTGGGAAGTTAAAAGCTGTGGAGCACATGAGCAGGTCTTGCCTTGGCCACTTCCTTTTTGTCCTGAAATCAATGGACATTCACACACATGAGCATATAAGTACTTACCAGCATTTGGGCAAGACTTGACCTCCCAGAGGCCAGCAAGAGGGGAGGTTGGGCAGGTTTGGTGTTGGATTTTAGTGGGGAGAGTCTCTGGACCTATAGCCATCCCCAGAGTGGGGGCCCAGGAGAGGTGAGGTTTGGTGGGGAGCATGGGCTCAGAGGGTAATTGTGTGGTTTCACCCCCCATAGCAGGAGCGCCTTCCAATGAGTGCCTTGTGTGTGGCGTTGGGGAGGGGTCACTTTATAATTTCCCTTGAGGAAACAATTCCCCCGGAGAACTAGTTGTTGTTTAGTTTCTTCCAGGGCTTTGTTTAGAGGGGGAAGGGGGCAGGCGCCCGTGATGAAGAACCAAGCTGCCCTCGAAGTGTTTCCCTCTTCGCCACAGCAGGGGAAGGAAGGAAAGAATTCAAGGCTGCATGTGGGAAAATAAACTTCAAAACCCAAGGAGAGGGGAAAGGGGGGCGGTCAGGGTAAGGCAGCCGGGTGCAGCTGGTGGTAGTAGCTTTGGAAGTTAAACAGCTTTCCTAAGGTGTTCTAGCAAACAAAATGCTTCTTGTTTGGAGGGCCTCTTAAACCCGCCAGTGATGGCCCCGAAGAAATGCGCAGGTAATTTTTTAGATTTGAGCATCAGGCCAGTCTGATTTGGAGACGATTATGGACAGCCCTGTTCCTCATCCCTGGCCAGAAAACTCTCAAACCTTCTCCAACTGGGCGAGTCTCCTCCCCTCATAGGAAAAACCCAAGAAATGAAAACTGACCAGGGGAAGCATTTTGCTAGCGTCACTTTTTAGTCTGCAGAAATCTGCCTGGCTCTGCTCTCTGTTCTGACTTGAAGCATTGCCTTCAGCCCTAGGAAATTGGCTTAAGGAGAAAAAAAAAAGAAGAAGAAGAAGACTCAGTCTCTGAAAACTTAAACTTCTTTCCCATCTGGCCCACCTGAGGTTCTGTGTTTTGTCAGGTTCTGAATCCCCTTTGTAATCCTAAAGAAGTCCCAGGCTAGGAATTCCTGGGGTTGGGGTGGGTTCTTGGGAGGGGTTGTTAGAAGGGGGGGGGGTGCAGTCTGGGCTGGGGTTTTTCTTACCCTGGAAACGGCCTGTGCTTTCAGAAGCATGCGAAGGGAGTTAACGCAACACACGCCTCACCTTTCGTTATATCTTTGGAAATAGACCCCAAGTTTCATGTGCTTCCTCCCTGTACAAGCTGTGGTTGAACTGAGGTGGAGGCCAACTTTCAAACCTGAAACCTCCCCACCCCCACCAGCCTCAGACCACGTGGTTGCCCTCCTTCCTGCCTTCAGAACCACTTCGGAACCTTGCTCCCAAGCCTTGTTCCACCAGCCTCTTCCTAAGTTGCAGCGGTTTCCATAAGGGCAGTTAGCATTGACTGAACACCTCGTGCACTGGGCATTGTGGATAGCATGTGCATTTTATGAGAGGGTACAGGCTGGTATTGCCATCTGGCTTGGCCATTTACCCATCAAGCCATTTAACTTTGCCTCTTACCCCACCTGCAAAATGAGGGTCCAGTGAGGATCAGGTTAAGCAGAAGCCTTAGGCAAGATGCGGGCAGGTGTGACTTGGGAGAAGCGACACGCCTCCCGCTGTTGTTAGCATTTATTGTCACACAGTGACCTGGGCATTTTACCTGCCTTAGTTACTCCTTACAGCAATCTTACGTATTAAGATAAGGAAACCAAAGCTCCGGGAGGTTGGAATGGCCTTGGTGACACCATAGAAGCACTCTGGAGCCCATTCCTTGTGCACCTTTGCCCTCCTTGGGCATGTGAAACTGTTGACTGGTTAGTTTGTGAGTGAGCTCTGGGGATTGGTTCAGGTGGACTCTGGCCGGCTGGGGAATTCTATTTTCTCTTTCCGCTAGAACAGGCATTGGCACACAGGCCCCCTGTGTGGGGCCTGGCCAAGCCAGCACCTCCTCTGTGACTGCGGTAAGCCTCAGTCTGCCCCTCCCTTCGCTGCACAAGAAAGCAAAGGGCTGGGGTGAAGGGGAGCAGTGAACCTTCTCCAGCCTTCCCCTCCGGTGTGTGGTGATCATAAACAGGAAGGATCTGAGAACTCACTGTGCACCAGAGCTTCCAACAAGTACTTTATAGATGTTCTTATTTTAATTTAATCTTGGTGACCACCCCCTTTTATAGAGGGGAACAGTGATATATAACTTGCCCAGGATTATATGGCACAGAGTCGGATTTCACACTGTGCTGTATTCCGAAGTACGTGAGAATTAGTCAGCAAGCGTCTACTAAGGGCCCACTGTGTGCCAGGCACTAGGCAAGGCTCTGGGAGTGCAAAGATGGATTAAGACACCCGCCAGGCTGAAACTGGCTTCTGGGAAGAAGGATGAGTAAACTCCCTAGGATGGGGTGGCTCGAGAGGGCCCCCAGGACCAGCCTGAGGGGTCAGGGAAGGCTCTCTGGAGGCGATGACCTCAACTAGGGTCTTGAAATTAGGAGGGTTTGAGAGGAAGAAGAAGGGAGGAGAGAGTGGGTGCTCCTGCTATGGCTTTCCAGATTCCCCCATGTCTCCTAGGGGTGTGGTAGGGGTGGCTCCAGGCCCTGCCTTCTACTGGATGCCCCATCCCTACCTCTGGGTTTGGCTAGACTTCTCATGTATCTGACCAGTTCCCAGAAGCCTTTTCGATCCTGCTGGCCTCCTTGCCAGCTTCAAACTGCATTATCCTAGCTGGAAGTTTTCCATGTGTGCCAGACCCCTCTCCTTTTATTTCCTAGAACCTTCTTAACATGCCTGTTCCCATCTATACCAGTCAAGCTGATTCCAGTTTTAAAGGTCTGACCTCAAGTCACTAACACCAGTCCTCCCCAAATTTGAAAATATAACCAGGGATTACGTGCTAAAATTACATCTGCCCAAAATGCTGAGAATGGGGCACCTTAATTGAATTTTTTTGAGAATTGAGGGTTAACATGAAAACCTCTTTTGTTTCAAGCCTTGTTGGAAGTGGTAAAGCACACTGGTCTGCTTAATGCCTTTGTAAGTAAAGGGAACACAATAGATCTTTTGATTATCCAAGATCACGGAGGCCTCCACGTCAGTAGTGTGAACTTGGGTCCTCCCTGTCTAGAGCTGGAGAAGTGGAAAGTAGAGAAGTCGGGTTTTTGAGAGGAATTGGAAGAAGGAGGTCCCCTCCTCATGGCTTGTCTGTTGATGTTCCTCTCAAAGTTGAGGGCCGCCAAAAAAAAACAAGAATTCTTAAATCGATAAATCTGCCTCCGTTAGCTGCTCTAGAGTTTCAATAGTTAAAGTGAATTTTTATTGCATCGTTTGGAGAGTTTTACTAGAACCCTTAGGATGATTACAAATGGCATGGTATTAGAGACTTCTCAGACGGTGGGAATTAGCAAGTGTTGAAAGATTCTAGTGGAGTTGGGGGGTGTCCTATAGGAGGGGGTGCAAGGGAGGTGAGGACTGTTGCGTCTGAGTATTTTCCTGGGATTTTGCCCTATTTATAGTTTAGCGTTTAAAAGAAACAATCCTCCAGTTTTGGATGCCGTGCTTGGCTGGCTCTGACCTCAGGCCAAGGGCTTTCATCTTGAACTTGGCTGTTTGCTGTCAGATTGGGCTCAGCCTCTGAACTCTATGTGTGGTGGGGGTGGGGAGCAGGGAACTATAAGGCTTTGGGGAACAGAGGAGCCGTACTCC